CACACACACAATCAGTTTTATGTGCGGCTTTTTCTTTGGTTGTATATTACTTTGAGGGTTATCTAATGACTTGACTCACTAAGATGCACATTTTCCTCTTAAGGTGTTGTGATGGTATGGTGCACGGTACACTAACATTGCTGGGAATAAACGTAAATGTGTTTCAAACAGATCTCCACATGCACACAAACACACAAAATCCATCGGTGTTTTTTTCTGTTCCGATCGTCATTGTGTTTTCTCTGAAATTGCCACATTTTCCCTTCTCCTCGGTATGTTCACTCTGTCCAGCAACCGCCTTTGAGATGAAGCAATGTGCTGTCTACTTCCTGCCACTGTGTTCAAGTCCTTGTGAGAGACTTATGTCCGAGTGACTTCCAATCTGGTGAGGCTGCCATGGACTGACACTCTTGGAATTTTCGTGTGATGTGAGTGATACTCCACTAAGGGTGGGTTGTTGTCGTGAAACGTACCCTTAGCACAGTCCAATGAAACAGGCTTTCGTTATCACTTTTACCCTTTTTCAGTTCTTGGTCTATGTTCCCCTTTTCCTTCGTGCTTCTGTCAATGTTTCTGTTTTCTTCTCCTTTCTTCATTCTTTTCTGTTTGTGCAACTTTGCGGTATACAGAAGTCCTCAAGTCTTATGGTGGCGATCACACTGCATTGGAAACATTGAGTTGGAGTGCATCGTTTTGAAGTCTTATGTCGATACGCTGTCTCTTGGATATGGGGCTGTGTCGCCTGCCCACCCTCCTCTAAGTCCCCAATCCGTGCCTTGTCCACTTGCAATATGGTTGAAACCACCACTACTGTTCACGCCGGAGTCCCGAGTGGGAATATGGCCTATAGTGGCTCTATACCGCATTTTCCGGGAACAGGACCGCCTTGGGCTGCCGTTGATACATTTCTTTCGGCGGCCCTTTCTTTCGGCGGCCTTCATTGTGTTACCGGCCTCCACAACTTGCTGGGCGCCGCCTTGCTGATGTCCAGCGAAGGTAATGGTCCTTTACAGTACGCTACAAGCCTACCACTGAAAACATTGTTAGTTTCTGTCATTTTCTGCTAACTGTTGAGGTTTCAGCCTATTTGGTGAGAGTCCAACAAATCAGTCTGTCATTACCGTTGTGTTCTTTATAAGCGTATCCTGTTCTGGTGTCGAGCTCTGTTCGCTGTATCTGCATGTGTATGTGAACCTTGAGGCTCAGTCTGGTAGCCTATGTTTCATACTTGCGGCGCACTGTGCAGTGTGGTGCAGCGAGCGCTGTGCGGCCATCAATGGTGCACGCACGCCCTGGGCATGTGCGCACTGCGCAGTTTTCTGGTGCACCGCATAATTTTTTTCACGGGGGGGGTTAGGGGGTTGGTTGGGGGGG